ACCGGGCGCGTGTGTGTGCGTGCCCAAGATCCCAAAAGAGGAGAAGGGATTGCGGCGTGGCCATCCCCCCTGGGGGGTGATTTCTTGCTTTCTGTCTCTATGTCTCTCTCTGTCTGTCTGGCGAGCGCACATGCCCTATAGTGAAAACCTCTCCAAAAAAAAAAAATTAAATAAAGAGGGACCAATAGGTAGTGTGGTGGTTAAGGTGCAGGACACACCCACATGGCTGACCATGGTTCGAGTCCCGGACCTGGTAGCTTGCTTTCTCACTTTCTCTCTCTCTCTTTCTGGTCAAATTGAATGAATAAATAATTAAATAATTACAAAAAATTAAATAAAGGGACGAATAGTTATTAGCATAATGGTTATGTCCCTGGACTCCAATGTAGTCGACCATGGTTCGAGTCCCCGGCCCGGTGGCTTAAACTCACGCCGGGCGCGTGTGCATGCGTGCCCAAGATCCTGAGAGGAGAATGGAGGAGAAGGGATTGCGGCGTGGCCATCCCCCCTGGGGGGTGATTTCTTGCTTTCTGTCTCTCTGTCTCTCTCTGTCTATCTGGTGAGTGCATGTGCCCTATAGCAAAAACCTCTTTAAATAAATAAACAAACAAACAAATAAATAAATCATTGAAACCTTGGAGTCAGCAGGTGTGGTGCAGTGGTTAAGGCACTGAACTCTCACATGGCCTATCGTGGTTTGAATCCTGGACCCGGTGGCTTAAAACTCACACTGGGTGTGTGTGTGTGCATGTCCAAAACCCGGAGAGGAGAATGGAGGAGAAGGGAATACAGCGTGGCCATTCCCTGGGGGGATGATTTCTCAATTTCCCTCACTCTGATTTGCTCTGTCTCTAGCAAGTGCATGCACTCTACAGTATTTTTGTAGTTTTCCTTATAGAGGTCCTTAATATCTTTGGTTAGTTTTATTCCTAGGTATCTTGTACTTCTTGTGGCTATGGTAAATGGAATTACTTTCTTCAGTTTGTCTGTCTGCTTGTTGTTTGTATATAGAAATGCTATATATTTTTATAAGCTAATTTTGTATCCTGCCACTTTACTGTATGTTTTTATTACTTCTAGAAGTTTTTTTGTGAATACTATTGGGTCTCCTATTTATGCAGTAAATGTCATCTGCAAACAGAAATAATTTCAGCTCTTCTTTGCCTTTTGGAATGCCTTTTATTTCATTCATTTAATTTTTTAATTTGACCAGAGAGAGACAGAGGTTGAGAGCGAGAAAGAAAGGAAGTGAGAAAGCAAGCCCCCAGAATGAGGACTCGAACCCTGGTCGGCCACGTGGGAGTGTCCAGCGCCTTCACCGCCATGCCAGCTGCTGGTCCCAGCATGGTAGTTTTTTAAAGAATTATTTTATCTAACTTTCTTTATTTATTTACTTATTTAAGTTTGACCAGACAAGGACAGAGAAAGAAAGCAAGCTGCCAGATCTGGAACTCGAACCACATGGGCCACGTGGGAATCCAGCGCCTTTAGCCACCATACCACCTGCCGGCCCCAAGTGGCGTGGTAGTTAAGGTGCTGGAAGCCCACACGGCCAACTGTGGTTCAAGTCTTGGACCTGGCAGTTTCCTTTCTCAGTCTCCCCGTCTCTCTGTCTCTGGTCAAATAGAATAATAATAAATAATTTTTTTTTTTTTTTTAAAGAGGGCTAGCAGGTGACATGCTGGTTGAGGGCACTGAACTCCCGCATGACTGACCACAGTTCGAGTCCCGGACCTGGTGGCTTCCTTTTTTTTATTTTCCCTCTCTCTCTCATACACACTGTGTCCCTCTCTGGTCAAAACAAAATAAATACATAAAGTTAAATAAAGTAATTCTTTAAAAAAAAAAAAAAAGAAAGAAAAGAAAAGAAGCAGATGAACTCTCAGTGGGAGCCTGGGGCTTCCTGGGCTCAGCCCCAGCCCCTCCCAGCCATGAAATTCTCCAGCTCCCGGCCACCATGTGACAGGGCTCTGGCCCTGGGCAGGGACGCCCTGGCTCATACTTGTGGCAAGTTGGAACCTGCAGGGCCTCCCGGCGAGATGGGCCAGGTGGCGCCTGGGGCTGGAGAAAGACCCAGCTGCATGAAAAATGCCAGATAAAAATGTTCCAAAGGACAAGGGCTAAGGAGGTCGCATTGCCTTACCTGCCGTGGGGCGTACAGGGGTTGCGGTTCAGAAAACTCAACCCTGAAATGCACGGTGACCAGTTTGCAAAATGGGGAGAGAGAGCTCCCATCAGAACAGGCTTCAGCCTGTGGAACTCGGGCTCAGAGAAGGACAGCCCCTTCCCTGGGGATGCACAGCCCGGTGGGGGCCTGGGATACACGAGGGCTCTGCTTTGAGCTCCCTGCTTAGAATTCAGAGAAGGCAATTGTAGTTGGCCTAGGGACACTCTTTTTTTTGTTTTTTTTTTTTTGAGAGATTTTTGCTATAGAGCGTGTGCGCTCGCCAGACAGACAGAGAGACAGAGAGACAGAAAGCAAGAAATTACCCCCCCAGGGGGGATGGCCACGCCGCAATCTCTTCTCCTCCATTCTCCTCTCGGGATCTTGGGCACGCACGCACATGAGCCCGGCGTGAGTTTAAGCCACTGGGTCCGGGACGCGAACTGCAGTCGACTACATGGGAGTCCAGCGACATAGCCATGACGCCAACTGCTGGTCCCTCATTTTTTTTTTTAATTAAGTTTTTTGTTTGTTTGTTTTTTGGAGAGGTTTTTGCTATAGGGTGCATGCTCTTGCCAGAAAGAGAGAGAGAGACAGAGACACAGAAAGAGAGAAATCTCCCCCCGAAGGGGGATGGCCACGCTGCAATCCCTTCTCCTCCATTCTCCTCTCGGGATCTTGGGCACGCACGCACACGCGCCCGGTGTGAGTTTAAGCCACCGGGTCTGAGACTCAAACTGCTGTCGACTACATGGGAGTCCAGTGACATAGCCGTTACGCTAACTGCTGGTTCTGTAAACCAAGTTTTTAAAAAACTTCATTTTGAGGGAACCAGCAGTTAGCGTAACGGCTATGTCGCTGGACTCGAGAAGGGATTGCGGCGTGACCATCCCCCCTGGGGGGTTATTTCTCGCTTTCTGTCTCTATGTCTCTGTCTGTCTGGCGAGCGCACGCGCCCTATAGTGAAAAAAAAAAAAAAAACCCTCTCAAAAAAAAAAACAAAAACAAAAAAAACTTCATTTTGACTAGAGAGGGACAGAGCGAGAGCGAGTGAGTGAGCAAAATAGAAAGGGAAAGTGAGAGAGCAAGCTGTCAGGTCCAGGACTCGAACCGCAGTTGGCCACATGGAAGTCCAGCGCCCTCAACCACCATGCCACTGCTGACCCCACGACATTCATTCTTGGGTGGTCCCAGCACCCCAGACTACCAGGGCCTACAGGTGCGAATGGGGAAACTGAGGCCTGGAAGGGGCAGGCCTTGGCCAGAGTTGCACACTCCTGGAAGGTCTGGAGGGTGGAGGTGGAGAGCCGCCCCGTCTCACGTGGGGATACGGACGGTGGCTGGACGGGGGCCAGGCAGAGGGAGGCGGTTGTTACCAGGGGGAGAGGCAGACTCTGGCTGGGAGCCCGGATGGGGCTGCCTCCTGTTCCTCGGGCTGAGGCGGGACACAGACCCGGGCCCTGGGGACACCAGATGCTCCGAGGCCTGAGCCAGCAACCCTGCTTCAGTGCCCTGGTGCTACCCCGTGCTGGGGAGCTCTGACCCGATCCTGTCTGGCCTATGTCTCCCTGGTGCAAAGCAGTTCATGGAACCTCCCGGGGCACCAGGCACTCACCCCTGAGGGGGGTCTTTCATTCTCCTTGAACTCTGGTCTCTAAGTCTGTGCACGGGGTCTCCCAGGCTACTCGGGAGGGTCAGAGCAGACCAGGCACTCAGCACCCTGGGCCTGGGCCTCCTTCCTACAACCTGGGCCTCAGTTTCCCTGGAACCTGCATGCCCCTGCCGTCTCAATGTCCTCCGTCCCCGACCGCCCTTCAGTATTTACCCGGGGAAGTGGGGTCGCTGAGGGGCTGTTTTCCTTAAAGAATTATTAATCGGGTGCAAGGGTTACATTGCTGGACTCCCACGTAGTCGACTGTGGTTCGAGTCCCGGATTCGGTGGCTTAAACTCACGCCAGGCGCGTGTGCGTGCGTGCCCAAGATCCCGAGAGGAGAATGGAGGAGAAGGGATTGCGGCGTGGCCATCCCCCCTGGGGGGGGTGATTTCTCACTCTCTGTCTCTCTGTCTCTCCAGTGACCGCACATGCCCTAGAGCAAACGACTCTCTGAAAAAAGAAATAAAAGAATTATCTCATGTTATTTATGATTGTTATTTTAATTCACCAGAGACAGAGGGGAGAGGGAAATTGAAAAACACAAACCTCCAGGTCTGGGACTTGAACCGTGGATGGTCATGTAGGAGGCTCGTGCCTTAACCACCACATCATCTGCTGACACTGGAGATTTTTTCTTCTCCAATCTCCTCCTGGGATTTTGGGCACGCACGCACACGCGCCTGGGGTGATATTCAAGGTGCCAGGTCCAGGACTCAAACTACAGTCAGCCATGTGGGATTTTTGAAGGCCTTCACCACCATGCCACCTGGCCCATGGTTTGGAGGCTCCTTTCTCTTTTTTTTTTTGAGAGATTTTTGGTGTTTTTTTTTTTTTTTTTTCTTTTGCTTTAGGGCCAGACAGACAGAAAGAGACAGAGAGACAGAAAGCAAGAAATCACCCCCCCAGGGGGGATGGCCACGCTGCAATCCCTTCTCCTCCATTTTCCTCTCGGGATCTTGGGCACGCACGCACATGCGCCCGGCGTGAGTTTAAGCCACCGGGTCTGGGACTCGAACTGCGGTCGACTACGTGGGAGTCCAGCGACATAGCCATGACGCTAACTGCTGGTCCCAAGGTCAAGGTTTGTCAAATGACTGTATGTCCTTATTCCTTCCTCCCTGGGGAGAGGCTCCCATGAAGAGGAGACACCCCCTTTTTCAGAAGGCCTGCTTGGGGCTCACCTGGCTCAGGGGGCCCATCTCGGGGCCTGGCGGGCAGCGGTCGGGGCCCTCGTGGACGAGGGCCAGGCCGGGCCAGGGCCACAGGCCCCAGGAATTCCACGTAGGTGCCAGGGAAGTCTCCTCGCTGTCGCGTGCGTTCATTGAAGCCGGGTATCCAACCCACGCTCTGTGGGCAGCGTTCGCCACCCTCGGCCACCCCCAGGGCCTGCAGGGCCGCCCGGGTCACCACCAGCACATCCCCGGGAAGCAGTTCCAGGTCCTCCGGTCGCTCCCGGCGGAATGGGTACAGCGCCCGGTACTGGAAGCCCTCAGCGCCCGCCATGGCCCCTGTGTGGTGGGGTCTGGATGGTCAGGCAGCTGCGTGGAGCCCCATTGGCCGGGGTGAGGGGCTGGGAGTGTCCACGGGGTCCTCTGGGGCGCTGGGATCTTTCTCTCTTGAAGTCACAGGCGACCCCAGGGGTCGCTCATGCCTTGTTTAACATCGTATTCCACAACCCGAAGCAGGGCCACCTTCCTGTGCCTCATCCGTCAACTGCAGATAGGGGTGGTGGTCTCGGGTCACCGGGTCACTGGGTCCCCCATCGGTTGGCGGGGTGGGGGTGGAGACAGGCTGCTCACTCACTCACTCACGAGGCGGGCCATCGGCACCCGAGGCTGGCGGCTCTTGCGGCTGCGCCAGACGGGGGAGCCGAGGACACAGCTGTCACCATGCTCGATTGAGGACTCTGACCTGCAAAGGGACAAAAGACAGTATGAGCCGGATGGATGGCCCGGAGCCCAACACGGGGCTGGACCCGAATCCCAGACTGGTCCCCCCTAGTCTCTGCCCTTTCCCCAGGCCTCTAGGGAGTGTGCGCTTGCTGGAGAGACAGAGAGACAGAGACAGAAAGCAGGAAATCTCCTCCCCAGGGGGGATGGCCACGCCGCAATCCCTTCTCCTCCATTCTCCTCTCGGGATCTTGGGCACACACGCACACGCGCCCGGCGTGAGTTTGAAGGCGCCGGGTCCAGGACTCAAACCACAGTTGACTACGTGGGAGTCCAGCGACGTAACCATTATGCCATCTGTTGGTCCCTCATGTAGATAATTCTTTCTTTCTTTCTTTTTTTTTAGAATTATTTTATTTAACTTTATTTATTTAATTTGACCAGAGGGACAGAGTGAGGAGTGGTGAAAAAGCAAGCCGCCGGGTCCAGGACTCGAACCATGGCGGTTGGCCACGTGGGAGTCCAGCGCCCTTAACCACCACACCACCTGTTGGCCCTTCCAAATAAATAATTCTTAAAGAAAGAAAGAAAGAAAATTACACTGAATGCGTGTGCGTGTGTGCCCAGAATCCCGAGAGGAGAATGGAGGAGAAGGGATTACACTGTGGCCATCCCCCCTGGGGAGTGATTTCTCTCTTTCTCACTCTCTCATGCGCCCATCGCAAAAATCTCTCTCTCTCTCTCTTTTTATTTTTAAAGAATTAATTAATTTTATTTATTAATTAATTTATTTTAATTTTGGCCAAAGAGCGACAGAGAGAGAGAAAGTAAGAAAGCAAGCCATCAGGTCCGGGACTCGAACCATAGTCAGCCATGTGGGAGTGTCCAGCGCCTTAACCACCACGCCACCCACTGGTCCCACAAAAATCTCTTTTAAAAAAAATGGGTGTACTAACAGCCTTCCCTGGTGGCTATCGGCAACAGAATTTCCAAGAACCTTCTCTGGGTCCCCCTGGTAGAGAAAGGCGCTCTTCATAACTCAGGAAGAAGCCAGGACCCAAACCGTGACCCACCCAACTCCAAGGTCCGGATTGAAGTGAAGAAGCAGCTAGCCAGGGCCAGGCAGCTAGACCCACAGCAGTGGGATGTGACTGGGGAGCCCCCAGGAGGGGTCAGGCCAGCTGGGAGGAGAGGAGGGGGCAGAAGCAGCCGGTTAGGGTACAAGGTCCCTGCAGGGGTTCCAGCCCTTGCCTGGAGGCTGGGTCTATCCAAGCATAGGACCCTCCAGGGGAGGAGCAAACGGGTGGGGGTGTGTCTCCAGCCTGGCTCAGTGGGGGCCCACAAAAAGGTGTCAAGTGGGAAGAGGGAGGTGTAGTGAAAAGCTTGAAGCAATTTAGCCCCGACTGTAGCCAGAAGAGGGGACAGCAACTGGGAGAGCAGGAGGCTTCTATGCAAGATGGGACCAGCCCCAGCACAGGGGGGACTTAAGGGGGGACAAAGAGGGCCACAGACAGTCCCAGCCCTGCAGGTCCCAGGAGGAGGCTGGGTGCTCGACGTGCATTCTTAGACAAAAGGAGGGTTGGACCATGAACTTGCACGAGGGAACCCTATTCACAAAGGCCAGGTAGTGGGAAAGCCCAGGGGGTGCCAGCCCTTGGCAAGGTGGTTAAGGCAGCTGGATCCCACACGGCTGACAGCACAGTTCGAGCCTCCGATCTGGCGGCTGGAAAAACACACCAGGCACGTGTGTGTGCGCGTGTGCACAAAATCTCAATTAGAGCAGGGACTGTGGCATGGCCATTGTCCCCAGAGGGTGCTTTCTCGCCCCTACCTCTCTGCCCCCATCTCTCTCTGGGGAGGGCATGCGGGTGACAGGTGGAGGGTCTGGGTTTTATCCCCCTGTCACAGGAAGGGCCAGGAAATGTTGAAACAGAGAACAGAGGCTGCAGGTTCCTGGCCTCTGTCACCTGTAGAATACAGGTGGAAACTGAGGCTCAGAGAGGGCACCTATATAAAACCGCCTGGATCCGCCTGCCCACCCCCGCGCCCTAGGGTGCACACGTTTGCACATGCCCCAGTATGCACTCCCAGGAACCAGCGATCCCCGAATCTGAGAGGTAGGAGGCCGGGGTAGGCCTGGCTGGGGGCTCCGCGGTGGAAGCCACGGTGGAAGTGGAAGCGGGGCCTGCTCGCTCATGAAGACGTGCGCTCCAGCCTGCGGAGACCCGGCAGTCCAGCCAGGAGACCGGAAGTAAGGTCGACCTCCGACCCTCCTGCACCCCATTGTGCCCCACACAATGCCTGGGTGCCCCTCACTCATGTTCGACGCCCCCATTCCAGGCAAGGCCTCCTTGCATTCGGGGCCGAGGCTTTGGCCCCGTATCTCGGCTAGGAGGGGTTCCTCCATTCCCAGCCGACTGTCCAGGCGGGCTGCACCGAGGCGTGTCGAGTCCGAGACCTCCCCCACCCCGCAGCCCCCCAATTCCCGCGGGGCCCCGATGCAGCCTGGTGCTCCATTCTAGCTTCCACTGGGGCCCCCGCAATTTGCTTGGGCGTCCAGCTTTCGGGC